TCTTGTGTTACTGAGGCTGTTTGTCTGCTATCACGTACGATCATTTCCACATAACCATCTTTACAATTTTATTGAATTTAATCCTCAATGCAGTTGCATTTCTTATGCTTTTATTTTATGGGAAGACTGTTGCACAGTTGCATTCCTCTAATATTAAGCAACTGAGAATAGCTGAGAATAATTTAAGTATTACAAGCTAATGTTTGGGTTTTTTCTTCTCTCACTATCAGAAATGTGCATCAGGTAAAGTTAAAATAAATATTCAGCTTTTTACCTCTCTATTAACGTTATGGCTGTATTGCAAAATAACTTTAGATGTCATTCGCAAGCAGACAGAAACAGAACAGAACTTCATTCCTCTGAATCTGTGAAAATGAGATCATTATGAATTTTACGGTGACAATGCACATAACTACTGTGATGTGTATTATCAAAATGAAAGGATTTGTTTATTTTATTAATTACTGCTTGGGTTTTGGGGGTAGAAAGAACCAGAATGGCCTAATCAGTTTATTGTAAAATTTTACAAGTCTGATTTTTTTTTATTGCATTTTTAAATTACAGTGGGAGAAACTACAGATGACAACAAGTGAGAGGAGGAAAATAGTTTGTTCGGTCACATTCCACATAATTGCAATTACCTGTGTTGTTTGGTCCCTGTATGTTTTAATTGATAGAACCGCTGAGGAAATTAAACAAGGCAATGATAACGGTAAGTATCTTTTACCTTCTTCAATCTTGTTGATAATGCAATGGGTGGCTTTGAAAGGCAGCTATGTAACCAGTCACATTCTCTTCTGAAATAACAGCTCACTGATACACAGCTACATCAAATGCTTTAATGCAGAAGTAATGAATGCATCAGTATTAACAGCTTATGTTATGCCCCTGCAGAGAGACCTCTACTTAGTATAATCATTACAACAGCTTAACCAGCCTGCTGGTTCTTCCTAGGTTAATCTCCCATTATCTAGACATTTCTAAAGCTCAAAAAAAAAAAAAAAAAAAAATTAGCCAAATTTAAACAGCTCAGCGCAAGTTCAGGTCATAAAATAGCAATTACCCACTTGAACCTCGATATCCTGTAAAACATGATAGAGCCCTTTCATCCACAAACTTCCTAACAGACACTTCCAAGAGACCGTGTTCCAGTTGTGTTAGTCCTTCATGTGGGACTTAAGTAGCATGGAAAGCTATTCCTGCATCCTCTTGAATAGAATTTCACTGTGAATGTCCATGGTCCAGCTGTGTTTATTGTGAGGGTGGTCAAACACTGGAACAAACTGGTCATGGAGTCTCCATCTGTGGAGATACTGAAAACCCAACTGGACATGTGTAACAAAATGCATGTTTAACATAAGTAGGCTTCTTTTTGGACTATACTTACCGTATGTGGAAGCTATATTCCAAACTGACCTACTGTTTTCCATTTCAAATCTAAGTCTATTTGGTCTCAAATTTAGTCTTCAATATGACCATGATGATGAAGAGGATAAAAAGCTTTTGAGTTTTGATCTGAATTGACTTTAAGCACAGTAGAGGGACAAAGGTCTCTAGCTTTGTGCTATACTCTGAAGTTAACATGGAAAACAAAACAGGTGGAGCTTTGTGCCTTGCTAGTTAGATAAATATTTGATGATACACCTGATGCTTGCCTTTCTTGCCTATGAGAGGAAAATAAGTAACAAGCCTCAGTAAGTCACAGACGAATGTATACTACAAAGTCTTGTTTTGCATTCTTTCTAAACGGGTAATCCTGTGTTTCATCTCAAAAGAACTGGCCCTGAGGACAGGACTAGGAATGGCTTTGAACTTCTGAGTACAACTACATCACCCTACTCATTAAAAAGGGGAAAGGCATTTCTGTGGATTAGCTGAATTTACACAACAAAACAGCTGACATGAATTTTTGTTGTTATATAGATTACATAAGAATCACCTTAATTAATCCTGGTAGGCTCAAAAAGTATTTAAAATTTGTATAGAATTCAGTGTTTGCCAAATGTAATGGATGATTCTCCACACTAAAAAATGGACAAAGACATGCCTTGGAGCTGCTTACAACATACAAAAATACGCATTCGTGAAGAGAACTCTTTTGCCCCAAAATTTGCTTGTTTGGGGGGGTACTTTTACAAAATCAAATGTGCATCAGCGTTTTGGGGGGGGCATGGGAAGAGACATACACGTAGTTTGCTTTTCTCTCCACTGTCTCTGTTTAAATGGGAAATGCTGGGAAAAAGACAGTGAACACTGGAGGAAAAACACTTTATAAACATATTTTGAGGAGGAGAAAAATGGAAAGCCCTGAATAATACTAGTACCGTTTGTTAATATTGTGTAAGTTTAAAAATCCCTTTTTAAAACATATCTCTCAAAATATTTAAAGTTTGGGGTTTTTTTTCTCCTTATGAAAGCATATGATACAAATAAATAAAATTTTAAACCTCTTAATTGGTAAACTTGTCACTGGTCTATAGAAAGGACAATTTAAAATATATTTAAAATATTCTAGAATTTATATGGCACCAGTGGTAGGGAATCAATTTTCACATAAATTTGCTCTGCTTTGAAGAAACAGGTCTAGGCTTAGCTGAGCTTTGTCTCTCCTAATAAATCTCGTCTGTGAAAATATGGCAATCCTGGAATATACTGAAAGGCACAAAATTCACTGTGCCATACCAGTTAAGCAAAAAACAATGCTTCCTGTATTGCCATGGAAGAAGCAGCAGCACATCTTTACTGCTAAGAGGTGGAAGAAACTCTGAAGGAACGCTGAGCCATTTATTCAGCCTCTTTCTTCTGAGCTCAGCGCTCCAGCTGTGCCTTGCTGGTTCTAAGTGTCATTACCCACTGATAGGGCTTAGTCAGATGCAAACCATACTGTTTTCATAATTAAGAGCAAGAAAGAGATGGTGATTTTTAAAAACAGTTATTAAAGGGAAAAAAAAAAAAAAAAGAAAAAACACATCACTGGATATGACGCCTTTTTGTTACTTCCTTTTGTTCCAGGCATGCAAACATTTGTGAATGAATTTAACAATATAACAGGATTTGTCCCTGGCAAGTTCAACTAACCAGAAAAATAGTGGTTAGGGAGATACGAAGTGATGTATGTGGTCTTTGTATGCTTTCATTTTGCTGCAAATTAAAAAAAAATAATAAATTGGATAGCACCATTGCTTAATATATTGTGACCATTTCTAAGTACTACTAAACAGTTACCAGGACAGGGAAGACAACAGCTACTTCAAACATTTTGTGTGCTTGTGCAATAATTAATATTCTTTTTGTCTCTATTTGTTTATTTAATTAAAAACCCAGTTCCTATGTGTTTAACAGTAAAGAGGATACCTAGATTCATGAGACTTACACAGCTGGCTAAAAGTAAAGACTTGCTTTTGAGGAGTCCAGGTTACCAGGTCTACGAGTCGAGACTGGCTCCTCACTGAAGCTCTTCTGCTAAGTTCCAAAGGAATGCAGATTGCTTTCCTGCCTGTGGCAAAAATTTCTTCCTTGGGTAAAACTCACAAATATCACCAAGTTGTGATACATCACCAGTGGCTGAATACAGCATCTGGAAGGCACTGGAAGGCTCACTCAGTGAGCAAAACGTTATTCAAAGACCTTCCATATAGGACCAATAAACCTATTCAGATTGTTCAGACTGACAGCTTAAGCATTGATACAGAGGTCTGACTCTTGTGTATAGCATTTAATTGTTAAATGTGATGCGGCGATGTGTAATGGGAAGGCTGGTAACTGTTCCTTTATGTTAGGCTACTGAATGGTTGAAAAAAGCAGATGTAGCAGTATGAATTAACAAGGAGAAGGCTGTTCTTAATACAACATTAATTTATTGTGTTAAAATCTTAAAACAACATTTAGGCCAAAGCAAATAATTTTAACATTATTCATATCATAATCAAGTTAAAATGCTCTCATCTCTAGCTATGTGTTAGCAGCCATATATTTTTCTGTAAATGTGATTGATCAATGCAATGAAAAAAAGTAAGAACAGATACACCAAAAACTGTAAAATTACTTTTTTAGTACATAGGAATGTAAGTTCTGCTTTTTGATACAGGTGTGTTCAGGGGGTTTGCACAGACAGCAGGAAAAAGAGACCAATGAAGGCAGGTGATACAGGAGATGAGAGCCCTTTCCACTAGCTTTTCTTACTATAGTGTGGCTTCAGGATGAAGCTAGGACCAGGTAATAATATTGTAAATGTTGGTGTTCAGGTGCCCTAAACAGCGTCATGCTTCTAGCACAATTAAAAAACCCAGTTGTTCTTGAAGATGTGCGTATTTCTAGGTATGCAGTTATCTCAGTTTTGGTACCTGTATTTTTGCTTAAGCAAGCTATTGAATATGGGGATATTATTGAAGACCAGTAAAATGTTTTGGGTTTCACTGTATCAAGCATTATGCTTCCTTTGTGAGAGTGGCCTTCCATTTCTTATTTGGCCAAATTGTGGTGAAGTCAGTTCACGAAATTGTGGTGAAGTCAGAAGTGGGAGGCAGATGTAGTTTCTTGGCTGGCCTATGGGATAGGAAATTGCTGCTGTTTTCTACTTGAGCCACAACTGCCCCAATAGTATGTACATACCTGAGAATTCTTAGCGAGTGGCTTCTTTTCAAAGTATTCTACTGAAACTCAGTACTTGATATTCAATGTATAACAATGGTAATAAATATAAATGTTTTATTTCAAAGGTGTCCTTGAATGGCCATTTTGGACAAAACTCGTTGTGGTGGCCATTGGATTCACAGGGGGCCTGGTCTTCATGTACGTGCAGTGTAAGGTTTATGTTCAGCTGTGGCGCAGGTTGAAAGCCTACAACAGAGTGATCTTTGTTCAGAACTGCCCAGACACCGCCAAAAAACTGGAAGAGAAGAACTCTTCGTGCACTCAGACCTCGGATGTCAAGGATGCAGTGGTGGTGCCAGTAGCACAGACAGGTACAAACTCTCAGCCGGCAACTGAAGAAACGACATCTGAGGTCATGCCAGTTTGACAGAGCCAGCATTGTTTCTTCCTTGCAGAATAAGGCATAGTGTTTTCTACACTACAAATGCTAAAAGAGAGTAGAAATGACTGTGCATTTTTTTCAGTTAAACAAAAAACCACACAAAAAACAAAACCCTACAAGGAAAACGGATCCAGCAAAGCAACTTGTTACTGTATGGAATGTGACCGTTCGTGAAGTAGTTTCTCAACTAGTCAGCAAGTGTAGTGAAAGTGGAAGTGTAGAAAGTGCAATAGAGAACAGGTTTAACAGACAATGCCAAACCAAGGTGACAAGAGTACTTTTTTTTTTTTTTTTTAAATTGGATGGCTGGGAAAGTAGAAACAGACCTGATATAATAATTTTGTTTACAGAAAACACCCCCCTTTCATCTGTTTACTACTAAAAGTTGTATCTGCTATTTAATGATACACTTCTAAAGGGTACCAATCAAGTTATATGCATTAACTGAATCAAAGTGTAAAGAGCGAGCTGTATCACAGCACTCACTCTCTAAGCCTCATATGGTAACACACATTCACGTGACTGCAGTGGAGCCTGAATGTTTGGGCAGCTGTGTCAACTAAGGATATTTGAAACATTTGAAGGGTAGCATTGTTTTTAAATATGCCTGAATTTTTGAAAAGTAAGCAATTCCAACCAGTATAAACTCATGTCTCCATAAGCAACAGATTTTTTTAAGCATAGCTGTCAGCAAAATAAGTACAGGAAGGAGAGAATGTGTAGATATGCATTTAGAAGAGCAGCTCAGCTGTTTATTTTACTTTGTAAGAGTGAATTAGACACAAACTGGATACACAAAGTTTTGAGGCAGAACTATAAATGAAAAAAATGCAGTTTACTGCAGAATCACACAAAAGTAAATTGCATATTACTAAAGGTCTGAAAAAGGATGATACATAGGGAAGATGGAAGCCATATTTTGTTTTAAGATTCATGATACAGAAAGGTAGATGTAAGAGAATATACCTACATATCTTAAGAGAACATTAGTTTTTATCTCCTTGTTCTGAAAAGTTAGTTTTATCTTTCTGACTGAAAAAATAAATCAATGGTTTCCCTCTGTACAGGTAAACTTGAGGTGTTAGAGATTCAACAGTTCAGTTGTTAACTTCGTGTTTTGAGCATTCTCATATAAAAATGAAGTGTGAATAGCATTAAAGGGTGCAATAGATAAATGAATGTAGATATAATACTGTGTCCAACAGGGTGAATTATACATAAAGAACCAATTTTGTGATTCAGTTCTCATACCTGTGATGTTTACCATCAGGACACAACAGCAGGTATTGACTTGGAATAGTTATGTACTGGCATGGACAAGTCTGGGGCCTGAATGTAATGTATACTTAAAAAAAAAAAAAAAAAGTTAAAATTTCTTTTTTGATCTTGTATTTAGGTAAAGGAGGAAAAGCAAACAAGCAAATAAAGAACCAAAGTAAAGAGGATAGGAGAGCACAGGTTGATTCAAAGGGGGGGAAATCTGCCACAATTACAAGTGAACTAGACTTCTACAGAAGCCTTGCAGTTTCTAATGGTAAATTTCCTCTTCACACACTCAAATATCTACAGTTAAATAACAGAATCATCCTGTTCTTGCAAATATCCAGGGTGCTAGGCCTAAGACGTATTGGAGTTTATATATTAGGCATTCCTTTGTGAATGTGTTTACTGGCTTAAGGATCAGGGAATACTGGAAGTAGCAGTATTAGCAAGAAATGTGTCTTTTATCAGATCATTATGTTCTTTTGTATTGGAATTGCTCATGTAATTTGGCTGTGACTAAGTGATTGTCATCTGGCTAGACAAGACACAAAATCTTGGTGCTTGAACAGGCCCTAAATACATATAATATTTGCTCTCAGTTACTCCAGGTGAGTTGGATTAATGTTTAAGTTTTTTCACATAATGACACACACTTTTCATATAAAATAACTTTCCAATTATACAATTGTGAATTGGAATTGTAGCAGCTTCTCATTTGAAATGACATATAAGATAACCAAATCATTTCTCTGTTTATCATTGTGGAGATTTCAGAAGGTCTTCAGAAAACGATGACAGTACTAAGGAATGCCTCATAACTGTACATGTTTAAGACAGTCTGCAAGGGCATGGTTTTCAAAAAGTGTAAATCTACTTGCTAAAAAGCAAACCTCATGACATCTGAAGTTAAGACACTTAAAATTACTAGCTGCATCTAAACATTTGGAATGATGTTTACAATAAAACCTGATGAATCATAGCAAAACTGACTGACAAGGAACATTATTATGGAAGATAATTAAGAGCTTTCTGAAATCATCAGGAAGTTTCTTACTAAGTGACAGTAGCCCTGCTTCTTTAGCCAGTTTGTTCTTTGCCCTGCTGTAGCATCATGACCCCATTGAAAGTACTTTATCCCCTATTTTGACAGTTTACTGGAGACTAATTCACATTTTTTTCTTGAGCAAGTATAAAATTCAACTCAAAGAAAAAAATACGTGAGGCTTCCAAAAGCAGATTTGTAACATCCAACAAGATTACTGTACATTTTTAAAAATACACTGAAGAGTTGGCAACAGAACAGACAACTTGCAAAATTTTATACTAACAACTTCAAAACACTATTCTGGCACTCACCTCAACTACAGGTACAACTGAGCTTACAGTTACTTAAATATAAGAATGGAGAAGGACTTGAGTTAAAATTCCTCCTCTCCCTTTGAAATATTAATTTGGATGGCAGGAAAAGGAGCAAAATGGGACACTGTCTGCTGAGACAGACAATGAGACAAGTCAGTAGCAAGAGAGATTACAGCAGGCTTGAAGCAGTCCTTAAACTTTTAAAGCATTACAGTATTAGCCCGTGCATCCCTTTCTCTTCTTAGGTGCACTAGATATTCTAGAGCTTTCAGGGATTTCATGCAGCATTGGAATTTGTTTCTGAAGCAGGGTGCAACCTCTTCAACAGGGCAAGAAGCTGTTCACACCAACATGCATTGGACACAGGTCTGCACGAATAAGGAAGGTGCACTAAGACAGACACTAGACAGCTGCTTATCAACCAATGTTTTTTCATTCCCATACAAAGCACAATTTTCTGTATCAATTTAATAAGCACAGGGTTCTATCCTGCAAAAACAGTATACTGAAAGTTTTAAGGTACATTCTAAGACTTTTTAATGAAAATGATGTATCAAAGATCTGTATCAAACTGCCTAGGTAGCCACAGTGCACCTCAAATACACTGATGGTGGGATTTAGCCTGGCTAAGCCCACAAAGGCAGAAGCTCTGAGCTGCCATTACCAAGAAGAGCTTAATCTGCATTCTTGTTTAAGCAAAGTTTTAATGACAGTAGGTAGAAGTAATCTGGTGTCAGATCAGATCTGGAATTTTAAACAAGATACTCCTCATCTGTGAACATGCACGTTTCTTTTCCTGTTTTAAGTTATAAGCATTATAAAGTTTATTTCAAACTGGCATAAACATACCACTTTTGACTATCATTAGCATTATGAAGATTCTCAAATAGTCCAACTGTGCCATTCAAACACTGCTCTATCTGAAAGCAGTGTTTATTTTTGTTGTGTAGAAAAAACAGTAATTCCCCATCACCAGAACAAACCATCTATAATTTCTAATAATGCAATGAAACTTACTCTATAATGGAAATATTTTACTGTGTATAATATTTGGAACTACAAGTTTGTGTTACTTGTTTAACTCCCTCTCTTTTGCAAACGAAAAATTGTATGTTTTTGTGGGTGAATGTGTACTGAAGGACAGAAGGCAAGAGAAACAAAAGTAATATATCTGCTTATTGTTGTGAAAAAAATGTATTTGTATTAAACAAATAACCCAGATTAGTATTCTACATTTGTCACTTTGTTATGTAGAGCATCACATGCTGAACATGAATCAGCAAGACCACAGGCTAGCAAGAAATGTGAACAATATACTCAGCTGTGTACTTAATATTGACAAACCTGCTAGCTCAGAATGGCTAGTTTTGGATACCACACCTTGGCAGAATGCTCAGGAAAACACCTCACACTACAAAAACACTTGAAAAGAACTATGGTTATTTTAACTTGCAGAAAGGAAGACTGTGAACAGGCTTCAACTCCATAAAGAACTCTCAGAAAGCAACTGGGTTACCATCCGTACCAAAATGGACAACTAGTACTGGGTTTCAACTGCAGGAGGATAGGAGAAAGAAAACTTCCTAAAGGGAGCAGTGCTTTGGAATGAACTGTTTGTTATATGTGATTGTGGAATGTCCAATGTTAGAAAGCTTTAAAGATGGGTTGGACAGTTAAAGGGTTTAAAGCTAATCCCACCTTAGAGTGTCAGAATGGATCATGTTCCCCTTTTTTTTTTTTTTAGACTCCTACTTGGTGAGATTTTCTCTCCTTTTCCAAAAACTCTAAAGATAAATGCTTCGTTTAATGAAAAGAAATATTATACTTGCATTAAAAAACAATCTGTGTACTTTGTCAGGTGTAAAACCAAAGAAAGTATCCTATCTTGATAAATACACAGCATTCCAACCAAACTACAAATTTAGTTTTCTGAAGAGAGTTGTATCCACCTACCCCCTATCTTTCTCCTAGCTTGTCAGCTGGGGAGAGAGTGGGCTAAATTTCAAAACCTCACAGTTCTAGCTGGAATAAGTCATCATATGGCTGGTGACTGCTAAGAATATACGTTCAAAACACAGAAGTAGTGTTCTAACAAATTTCATTCCCTCCATGCAAGGCCAACAGATTGTTCATTTTGTTAAAGCTGCCCTAACTAGCTCACTGTGTACATCAAAGATGGATTCACAAATCCCTGCAAGATATAATACATTAGAAATAGTATAACCAAAGAAATTCTAGTGATAAAGATACATTCATTTCCATTTATTAGCATATGGAAAAATAAATAGAGCCAAATTTGGTTTTAGAATTAAGAGAATAGAGGTACAGGTCACTATGCCTTTTTGCTTTGCACACAAGAGTTTGAATCTCTTAATGAAAGGTACTGTTAGAACACAAACACACATTTCTGTTCAGTTTGCTCTCAGTATACAAATAAAGCAAACATGCTATGCAGTACTTACTCACCCCTTTCCCCCCTAATAAAATATTAAGGCTGTTCTGCATGAGCTTTATCTAAAAGTAAAAAAAAATGTCAGTTAACAACTCGCCAAAAGTACTTTGAATGGTGTACCACATTTCCACTGCCTATGACATGGAGCTCAGAAAATAACCTTGGATAAATTTTACACCATGGTTGAGAACAGAATGATTCCACTCTGGTGGAGGGCAGGGGCCCTGGGACAAACTTGTCCTTCTATTACTTGCAAATACTTACAACTGTTACTAACTGAATCACAGATTTTTTTTTTATTTATTTTTTTTAAACAGCTCAAAGGTAATATATATGAAAATACAATAACCAGCACTATTCCAAACCAAACAAAAACCAAAGGCAACAGGTTACAGTAATTTTTAAGTTTGTTAACTAAATTAGGTCTTACTTTAACAATAGATAACTTCTCTTGAAAGCCACATGGGAAACTGCCCAGCCTGTATGACACAAAGGATAACTTTTTATTTCTTTAGGGTTGTCAAGTTCAATAAATGGTGTGTTACTTCTTTTTCTTCAGAACTACCACGTAGTTGCAATGCCTTTAGACCTTGTGCAATTTATAATTTGAAGAAATAATGCTATAATGAAGCATGGATCATTACATCTGTGTATGCATATGTCTGGGAACATGGTAAACAACATGCTCTATAAAATTTAATAATGGTTCAGAAGCAGCATAGAGGTGAAAAGTAAAGTAGCAAGATTTACATGGGTTATATTAAAATAAACTCAGAAAAGAACAACAAACCAACAAAATCTTAATGGCTCTCAGAAGCAAGACTACTACTTACAGGAGCCCTGAAAAATGCAGTCAAAAGAACAAATCAGTCTAGAAGAAAGTTCAGGCAAAGGCTATAGTGAATCTTCAAGTGCCACTTTACTTCTAGGTTTGCTAGTACATTTTGAGAGCTGAGGAAAAAGAAGAGTATTTCATTTAAAAAGTATGGGTAAGAATTTTTGGCCAACCATGAATATGAGCTGACATTAGTAGAATGTTGTACTTTAGAAAATGCTTCTGTTTTTAGAGTAATGCTGGCATTTTGGTCTAATAACTTAGTCTGAAGTTTAGTTTTATTTTTCATTTGTAACAGGTAACTAGTTACATATTAAACTCTTCCTTTTAAGAAAATGGGGCAGTATTTGCAATACAAGCAGTTAAGGCTTAGGGAGCTTGACTACAGGACCACTACGGTAAGTCTCCCACCATCAGCTTATTTTTAGAGTTTCATTACAGGAACTCTGCACAGAATCTTGCTAGCTGTATTTAAGGCAACAGCTTAAATTGCAGTGCATAAATCACAACACCTTATTAGCAAAGTTTCTTACCTTCGTAAAACTTACTTCTTTTGGGGAAGAAAGTCTAGAAGTCAATTATAATGAATTTTACTCTTGAAAGAGCTAAAAGACAGATGTATGATGTATGCATTGTATCATGCCAAGACTGACCAAACAAGCCAATCTGACATACTTCTGTAGTGCAGGCATTCCTTTGCCCTGTACTAGAAGACTAAGCCTGGAGGATTCCTTAAGTGGAGAATTTTTTCTGCTGAGGAAAAACAATAATGTCCTTTTTTACTACTCTTTCCTATCTACCCGGTGTCTAGCAAAAAAAGTTTTAAAAGTTACACTCCAACATACACAGTTTTGGATCCCAGACTGTCCTCACATATGGCAGCATTACAGAGATGAGTAAATACATTACAGCAATCAAAGACCAAAAAAAAAAAAAACAAAAAAACCCCCACACATAAGATACTCTGTAAGTATATTCTTGAACTACTAAGGAATGGCTCAGAAAATGGTTCATATATGTTGCCTTTTTGACTTGTTGCATCCCACTGCACATACGGGAGTTCGATAGGATCGACACATACTTTGGTAGAGGAAGAAAGGAAAAAACAATACTGAGGCCAAGTACTTCACTGTATGCTTGTTTGTCCACATCACAAATGTTGGAAGTCTCACCCCTTTAGAACCAACTTTGTGGAGCAGATTGAAAAGCCATGGTGAACAGTTCCACTAATTCAGTCATATTTGTTTCCTAACCTAAAGAACTCTAAATTAATTAATCCACTGCATGCAACCATCCATGAGAAGGACAGTGTTTTCATTTGGGGTTGGTTTGTTTGGGTTTTTTTAACTCAACATTTGCTTTGCTACATGAAAAAAAAAAAAATCATACTGCTACTGGAATTAAAGTCAGCTGGTTCTTTCCAGCTGAGACCAGGAATAGAATAAGTTCCAGAATCAGAGCACAACAACTCATCTGCTACTGAAAGTTTGAATTTAATTCAACCAGTTCCTTAGAGAAGTCTTAGCTCTCCAAGGCTGGCTGGAGTAAAAGTATACTTAGTAAGTATACTGCAAAGTACAGTGTAACAAATTGGAAAGTACATTAACCCCACCCCCCCACTCGCAAAGTTCTCATATAAAAGTGGCTTTCCATGTCAAAATGTTACTTTTTTGTTTGAAGTTTTGTATGTTTAATATAAGCCCTGATAATTAAAGAAACTTGAGTTTTAACTATTACAACCTTGCAGTTAAAAACTAAAAAACACAGGGACATTATGAAGCAATATCTAACAAGTTAAAAATGAAAGAAATCTTCCATAAAATTGATCTTTAACCAGAAAAAAACCCCTGTCAATTACAGAGAACTATAATAGAGGATGTAACATTAAAGTTTGTAATCCTTAGTTACAAATGAACAGAATTTCAAGGTATTCTCTACAGCAAGTTTGTAAGAACAGAGAACATCACATAGATATTCCCCATTCCCGCTGTTAACAGCAGCTGCTTTCTAGTTTTAAAGAAACAGAACTCCTGAGAGCATTCATCCTTTTTTTACACCATAGGAAAGAAACTCATCAACATACAAAACCCCAATAGCTGGCTTTAAAGCACAAGCATAATTGGATTCTGAAACTGACAGAAGAGATTCCACTATCTTGTCTCAGTAACACGTGAGGCAAAAGATGCTCTCTACATCCCCCGCACTCTGGACTTCTCAGCACAAAAACTCTGAGCACAGTTAAAAATAAATAAATACGTAAATAGCTTTGGTGGTTTTTTTTTTTGTTCTTTCCCATTGCCACATTAGTATTCTGCCACAAAATTAATCTGGTAAATTGGTCTTGCACATCATCAACGTAAACCTAGATTACTTTTCAATTCAAATATGAATACTTGACAGCTACATATGATTTTTTTCTGGTAATTCAATGTAAAAAGTCTGCACAGAGAAACTGGGTTTTTTCATTACTTATGCAGTAGGTCAAGATGACAGTTTAAAAGCCAGCTAAACAAGCAGTGAATAAGTGGACTTCAAGGGAAAAAAAATCTACAAACTCAAAGTCCAATTTGTAAACATGTTCTTGAAGTGTGAATAACAAATGTTAAAAAAGAAATCACTTCAAATATTTGACTATCACAGCCACAGAAGTAATAATTACTTTTTTATAATGCCTTATTACCAAATTGTTTCAAGCAAAATAGAACATCTCATTCTTCATAACTTTGCATGACCATCTTTTTTAAAGCATTCACCAGGATGTCAGCCTAATATACTGTCATTACTGTGACACCTTCTAGTTACCTTATTGCTCATTTTCCTTCTGTATTTTACCCAATGTAATGGGAAAGTGACTTTTTCTGCAATGTTTCTACTTAAAATTTCAAAGCACATCAGATATTGTATACAAGCAAAAATTTAAGGTGAATCTTCTGAAAGGCAAAATCTGTCAAAGCACTGAACACATACACAGCTTTAGTTCAGACCAATTACCCTGGCTCAGCTTCCACCAGAGTTTAACATCTAAAGTTTTATACATCAAAAAAAGCTGGATTCCACCACACAGCTCAATTTAACAAAGTTAAAAAAAAATAACAAAGGCCTGCTCTGAACTTAAACACACTTCATTTCTAAACACAAACACAAAGCAGTGAAGTGACAACCTAGAGATACAGCTGGTATCAGAGGATAAGACTAGCCAGGTTTAAGACTTGCAGTCCACCTGACAATGCATTAGATCACCCACACATGCCTTAGGTCTGTTAAATTTATTCAGGTTTCTTCTTCAGATTAAGGAGGACAATGGTTAAGTCTATATTACCTAAGTAGATTGGTTTCCTAAAACATGAAAGGATAGCACAAGCCTGTTTTGTAAAGAGTGAATAACTTAATATAGATGTTAACAGAATAACACTCATCAGTAACACTTACTGCACAGCTAGGAAAATACACACCTGGATATCTGTAAAAGAAATCTGGGAAACCCACATTACTATCATGACAAAGCCGTGTTGTTTAACACACAGAACTGTACTGGGGATCAAGTACTAGAAAGATCATCCACCAGGAATAGTTATTTCCACATAATTAACAGGTATCTGAACTGTGACTGCTGCAATGTGTACAGACAATACATCTGAACTGTGACTTCTGTGCCCAGACAATCTAATCTGCACTAACAGAGATGTCCTACTTAATGCCTGCTGTGAAATTATACCTGGCTTTGCCCTTGCCCTTTTTTTCCCCTCTTTTTTTTTTTTTTATTTTACACTATTAAAAGTGAGTATCTGCTAAGAACCTTCCTGAAAGACACATTTAAAGGCATCTAAAGAGCTGTTTCATAAAGCAAGCCTGCTATTTAAAAGTCCTAAGCAACTTAATTTTAAAATGCACAGCTTTCTCAACAGAGGGGTCAGCAAAAAAACATATGGAGAAAAGATGTATTTAGGAACAGACTGTAGGGACTTCAATTGGCTTCTGATCTGACTTCTTCAATACAGAGTGGTGAGGACAGTGTAATTTGAGAGAATTCTCTTGACAAAACATAAAATACTCAGTATTCTATTTTGAAGTCTTTCCAGCACTCTATGTTCCTGACACAGATTCTCAGACAAGGGAAGGTACAAGAGAAGAGTTCTTCATGATTAACTGATGCTCCATGTATCTCATCTTCTGCATATACATTTCCACGAAATGCGAGAGCATTTCTTACACCCAAGGTGAGTGTTCCCTGCCACACAGTACAGGATTTTGGGAGACGAGGCATATCACTGCTCTCCACAAAACTGTGTACACCTAGAGACATCCCAGCCATCACCACAAGAGACGGACAGAAGTTGCCACTAACTGGCCCCACTGTCTACCAGGGTACCTGCTGTTTATATACTAAATGACATAAATTCTTGCCAGTACCAGGAAAAGGTAAGGATTTCCCACCACAAAATATTTCTAACAGGTGTCTGAACCCTGACTGCTCTATGACCAGGGAAGAGATACCCAACTAGTCAGGATTTCAAGATATAAACTACAATTGCTTTGTCAACTCAGGAGCCTGCATCCTAAAGAGAAGGTACCATATGAGAAGTAAGGACACAATTAAGATTTTAAGTATTTATTAATATTCAAAATTTTTTATCTAATAATATACAGCTTTACCCAACAATATACTGTTTACTCTTTACCAGAGGTACACAGTGAGCTCATAAAAAATGCAGCTAGCAAAGCCTTTGCAAATATAGTTAGAATTTATTCTTGTTTCCAGTGATAATTAGAATAGGTTTCTTACAATTCCCTTCAGCTGTGTTAGCTCCTGAATCAGCTGGTGCTCATTAGACCACCTCTTCTGCTTTATTCAATTCTTCTTTAGCTTCCACATCTGCCACCTCAGGGTGACTGCAAGCAGCATCCCTAGCTGAGAGCTTTTTCATTTTGATGTTTGGTAGTTTCCTCAGATCACCATCCCATTCTCTTAAAGAAAAGAAGTAATAAAAAAAAATTACCAATAGAAACAGCAAGAAGGAATGGCAGAGTTAATTCACCTTTCCTCAGAAGATGCTAACTCAATTGAGGATACTTTTCTAAATTATACTATCAGTCCCACTGCAGTATGAATAAGCACCAACGTTTTCACCTGATCTTGTACACTACAGCAGCTGTAATTACTCTGTGAAGAATTAAGTACTTTCAGATTTGACATTCTGAACAAAAAATATACGATTCCCTTTATTCTCATAGACTATTTGTATACTTTAGGCCACCTGGCTTTAGGTTTGACACACAAAACTCCCAGTCTTGTAAGCAATGGAAAAGCAGTTTGGAAGAGTTTCTTCATCTGGATGCTCAATTTGCAGAGCTAATACCACATGTACATGAAGTCCTTCATTATGATTTATGGTAACTGTTAACATCTTGTATGACTGACTTCAAGGGGACACAAAATGTTAGTAAACATTTATTCACATAAGTATATTATTTCAAAAGGCTGCATTGAAGGAGGAAGGGTTCATTTAAATATCGCAAGTCAAATCCTGTACTCAATTAATAGAATGCTTTCTTGATTATAGTAAGTGCACTTCATGGATGATTTTCTCAAGGGCAAAGACAATATTTGCCAATTATAAGATAGACACGTTTTGCTCTACCGAGGTAAGAAAACAACAACACTTCCATCAGGTGTCCCAGTAGCGGAAGTCAATTGTGTTTTTATAAACACAGCAGCCAGAGGCCTGTCTCTTCTTCGAGATTTCTGGCTTTATTCCAACATCCTGTAAGCATGACTTCTGGCTACGTACCACCCCTAGGGGTTAGTGATGTATCTATCATTCCTTGGAACATAATCATTCCTAAGTATCTTTTTTTTTTTTCCTTTAAAGTATCTCATTTGATAGAGCTGTCAGCAAGAGTGTTCATTCAATCCATTACCAAGGCATATTGGCTTGCTGGCCCAGATGAGCTAGCAGCAAGTTTCATAGCTCCCAGATCTTTTAACTGGATGCAAGTCATCAATTCACTTAAGATTTTCAACTAGTATATACACAAACACTACTGTACTACACCGAGAGCTGGATCTTAGAAAACATGAGTAAGAACTTAGTGCTGGTTTAGTTATTTAGTGATAAGTTTTGACTATAAGTAACCCATCTCGTTTCAGGTTAAGAAACAGTGTAACTCCATTTATCAATAAATCTGTCTTGAGCCTTAAATGCTAACAGTAAATGCTAATACTTTTTGTGTAAATCAGTGAAGAGCCAAGGTGAGAATTTTAGGTAGAGAGAAATATTCTCTAAGAATATCGAAAAAAAAAGATACTTAAGTTACAGAAATGGAATTCTAACTGTTGAAGCTTTCTAACGCTTCCAATGTTTTAATTATTAACTGTCACTAGCATTCAGCTTGTAACAGCTAAGAAATGCCGAAATAACAACACCATACCTAGTCTTTTTCCAAAAACAAATTCTTTGACAGTTTTGCCTAAATTCTTTTTTAAGAAAAAAGACATACAACATGTCAAATTCAGAAACACTGTTTTGCATAAACAGATTAGTAGTGATAATAAAATTAACTTACCTGAAAAATTTAAGATGCTTTCTGTTCATAATGTCTGGGATTTCTAATGGGAATGAAATTGAATTCTATTAGATGTGTTACATTATTCAAGTGAGTCTCATTTCAAGGAAAGACATGTGAGCTAAAGGGTTGAACCTATTTCAGAGCTTAAAAGACCAAGAAAATGAGAATGAGGATTTGTATTTGAAAATTTCCAGAGCAATATATAAACAGGAAGATCTCTCACTGCTAAAGAAAAGGAAGTGCACTTACACCTATGAACTGTTTCAGAATTCAAATGCACCAGTTACTGAAAATCCAATCCTGACAAATAATCAAGAGGGTGCTTCATTTTCTCTAAACTGACACATCCAAGAAATAGCAAAATTTTAAGCACTTAAAGTTTCCCTTTAAAAAAAGCTCAGTGAAGAAACTAGGCAAATAATTAATTATTTGTTTTAAAAGCATAACTAACATCTTCAACCAAGATCAAGGTCTAGTTATGCTAGTTTTTAACAAACATTCACTCGCCCACGTAATAAAGTGACAATTCTGGTCTGCAGAACTTACTATAAATATGCACAACAGATAAAAGGTAAAAAAAGAAAGTTTAGTTTCGAAGCTGACCTAAATATACAGGCCTCACTCTAAGTTAATGAGTACTAAGTGCTCCATAAGTATTTTGAAATGTTTTTGGAAAAAAATTTGGTGAAGTTATTTAACAATTTTGCCACCGCCAAAGCAGCAAAGATCAATTCAGTGCCAAATCTTGGTTTGTCACAGAACCTCCCCCCTCCAGAATGCCTGCTTTCTCGTGACGCTGGTGAGCCCTGGATGACAGGCTAGATAAAACTGTTAGAATATTCTCTTTGGAAAAAGTCCTATGTAAGTTAATAAAAGCCATTAAACACTTTCCACGGTGGTTTTTTTCAACCAAAAAAAGCAATTGAAAGGGCTTCATTTGAAAGTCTTCTCACTGCTTACATGTGTGTTTGCAGTATGTTACACAATACAAACCACAGAGCTGCCAGATTAGGAACAGAACTAGAAACTCTAATCCCATGTGTGTAGAAATAAAGTAACTATACCGCACAGTAACTGATTTTTTAAATTATGGTGGAAAGCTACCGTAGCACTGCATTTTCAGATTAATAACACTTGTCTTACTGAGAAGTATCTCCTTAGCATGCACCAGTGTTGTGATTTTTGCTGCTATTTGTGAACTAATAAATTTGCTTAAAAAATGTTAAGTCACAGGAGCATGTTTTTCTGAACTAAAGATGGAAAAAATGGAAGACAGAGAAATATGGCACAGGAGTTAGTGGAAGAGAAATGAAGACAGTATTTTGGGGAGCAGATATTGTCTGGCATTTCTAAGATGAAGTATTCAGCCACTTGTGTGTTATAGTGATGCAGCAGTGAAGAAATTTCAGTAAGCATTTTTTCATGTTTCTGGCCCTTTAAGATAATTTTATTTCTGTATCTTTCTTCTGAGGAAGAACAAACAGCATGTTAGGTCTCAAACTTTGTCACAAAGATGTTAGTGCTTAACACCACTTCATAACAAGGAAAAAGACAAAGTGACTGAGCTTAATTTATAACACAGAACTTGCGTAAAATACTGTAAAGTCAGCACCTTTCCAACTGTTTGGATGGAGCAGCACTGGACCAAATTACATCAAAGTTCTTATGGGCATCAGAATTAAAATGCTTCTGTCAACTGTAGGTCTAACCGATCCTGCCTCTGTGCACAAACTTAAACTGGAGGGGTTCTAAAGTGTAACTAGAGAAAAAGGCGATAGAGGAGCCAATCCTGGTGTTGGAGTGCCCTTCCACAGCTGTATCCCACAGCACTATTTTTTAACCGAATGCTCTGTGACAGTCTGCTGAGGCATTTTCTTCCAGAAGTATGCTGTTAATAAAAATATTATTGTTCTTCATAGCAGCAACCATTTCTCTCTCCCAAAGCAAAGATTTGCCCAAGAGATTTACCTAAATCTCACAAGGACTGAAATGTCACTGCTCTGTCAGCACTCTGCACAGAATATAGGCTGCATATATATCACATCCATTAGAACTGTCATACAGAGAAACACCCAAGTCAGGTCAAAGGATGATATTGCAGCCTGAATTTAAAAAAGGAAAAGGATGTTAGGAACTGTAGATGCTCTTTAGACAAAGAACCATTCAGTTACACAATAATGATCATTACAGAAAACAGCAGCTAACGAACAGTACAGTAGTTACACTAGTAGATACATGTGAATGATACAACTTTCATCTGAATTAAATCAATTTCCTTATGACCTGAAGTTTCAAAAATTAACTAATAAAACTGGTGTGTTTAGCTTTAAAGGCCATTTTCCCCAAGATTAACATTACGCTTCAGAGAGAACATGCAAGGTAATTAGAAGCAAATTATCAAAAATGTATGATGTTCAGATGAAATAATTACAATGCTTTTCAACTGAAAGCATGCTAACTCTGAGTTCCAAGGACATATCCTGTAAATATCTAGGATTCCCTTTCAATAGCTTTGCTATAAACATGTGAGACCAGATTAAAAAAACCAAACACACACAAAGGACAACATCAGAAAGAAAACTGCAGTAAAATTAATGTCGATATATTTAAGGAGTAAGGAAGTGACAAGAAGCTGCTACCAAAACTCAACAACCTCATAGATAGACTGAATATTGCCTGTATAGGTACTGTTTTTTAAAAAAAGACTAAAATTTACTATGCTTTTGGACATCTACCACTTTTGTAAACAGCCAGTAAAGAAGAATTAATTTTTCATTTACATATATCTGAGATGATATATATATATATATGGCATCAAATTTTAGGAGATTTTCCTAAATGTAAATAAATACGTGTCATGTAGTCTCTCCATACCAAATGCACATGCATACAAGAAATAACTGAGTTCAAGAATAGAAGGAAAAAAAACCCAACAAATACTAAGTCAGTTTTAAAAGCTCCACTCACTACAGCTTCCAGGGATAATGAGCTAGAGCATAAAAGCAGTTTCCAGCTGATGTCCATTTATCCCCAATCTCTAATTACAGTATTTAGCAGCAACTATTTTCTCTGAATGAATACTGTCCTAGACAGAGAGCAAAACCTGCAGCAGCTGTGATAACAAATAATGAATGATTTGAGAGTGTATTTAATATGTGAAGTTGCACCATGCTCTCTGAATGCTTTACTTACTAATACTATAATAACCTCAAATTTTGCTTACAATTTTTCTGTATTTTTATGTTGTGCTTGTGCATCTGACATCTTTCTATTTAGTCCTATTGCTTTTCTCTGTCAGCTTTCTGCAAAGCAGTAAGGAAAAAAGGAAGAACTAAAATTTAAAAGCAAAACCAAAGAGGAGATTTTCTACAACTGAGCTATTTGGTGACTTTCATAGTACCTATTTTCCTATGACTTTTTTTACCCCCCTCTAAGAAATCAAAGATTACGCATGAAGTCATACAGATATTCCTGAATTCCTCTGCCACTGCAGGTTGTGAAAGTACTAAGTAACACTGGCAAAATTTTCAAGCCATTCATTTTCTTTATTGGTACAATATAAATCAGGGGAAAGGGGAATATGACACACAACCCAAGCCCTGCTGTGCTTTGTATCCTGACCACAGAACAATGTATATTTTTCACGTCTTCCATGACATACTTTCACTGGTAGAAGGACTGATTGCATCTGAATACTACTTTACCATTAAAGCCAAGTTCATCACTCAACCCCAACATACTTACTTGTTAAAGCAAAATACATAAATTTCACTACTATTTTGTACTTGACTCTCCTCAGAACAACTCTTTACTTTTTGCACTTTCATTATCCCTTTGTCTTTCTCCCTTATTTCACCAGATTACTGCTGCTTCTCTTCAGCCTAGTTCCAGCTATCAAATTTTCAGTCTCTCTCTCACATGTAGCTTGCATCTGTGTACTACCTCTAAACCCAGAAAATACTTTCAAAAAGAGTTTAAGTGTTTCTTCTTAAAGAAGACTATACACCTTACTAGGCAATTTTCAGCTCTAATGTTTGTGTTGTGGTTTTCACACATGACTGTTCCTCAGAAGATTTCACTAGATAATCTGCTGGCATAGATGGCTACCCCAAAGGAAGATAAATGGTAATAAAAAAATCAACGAGAGTATCTGGCATTATGATTTTACTCAAACTTATGATAATTGCCAAGGTGAAAGTTTAAAAACGCAAAGTGCTTTCAACTAGGCTCTTATCTACAAGATTTTTAATTTTAAATCTTTGGAGTTTTTGTGGTTTTTTGATTATTAAGATGTTAAATGTTAGGGCCTTCACACACACAGAGCACTTACACTCCCTCCACCATCATCTCCAGTAAGTCAAAAGAAAGGAGTATAACTCCTCTGCCTGACAAGAACAAGAGGAAAATGTGTTTTTCTACTTGTGGGTTATCATTTATACCTGTAGAATAGAGCCTGTAGAGTAGATGTGTCACAATAGCCCCGGATTTCTTCCTGGAATATCAAAATTTTAACAGGAAAACTCCAGAAATACTCAAATTTTGGAAATACATCAGTACTACAATTTCTGCTGCAACCATTCTCCCACATGAAACACATCTCAACCTTAGTGGAATGAAAGGACTCTTTCTGAAGATGTTTTAGCCTCATGAGTTTGGAGGCTTTGGTTCTCTTTAAGTTCATGAACCCTAAAGCCCACTCTCTCATGATATGAAGCTCGCTGAAGTTCCTCATGACACTGGTCCACCTCGGCAGAAAGGGGCAAATCAGGCCACAAGTTTATCCCCAACAGCAAGTTTGTATATTATCGAAAGAATGTTAGAGAAAGCTGTGTATAAAGGCTTCATTGGCACAAGTCCACATAACGAAGCCCAGATAAAAAAAGTAAATAATTTGTAGAGAAAGTGATGCTGGTTATTCCCCACATGAGCAAACAAAGTCTTCATGCTAATGCATGTTAAAACACGCACACACACTCAAAAGCACTTTTAAAATAAAAAATACTCTGTATATAATGAAGGTCCAAGCAAGCTGCTGAACAGAATTTGTATTTGAGACAGATGCATTAAATCTCACTTTAGTTTCAAAAATATGTTATATATGCCTGCACTAAAGAGGCAGTACTAGCAAAGATACACAAAGGCAAAGCAGTAAAGCAGAAATATATGAGTCAGATCTCCAACATCTTTTTTCTCCCCTTCTTCACCCTGCCCCTCCTCCCAAACTCCTCTGCAAGGCATAAATACCTAGCAGTTCGTTAATTCCTTTAAAGAGAAAAATAAAGATAATGCCTAGAAATTTGACTTAGATCCTAGCCTTGTGAGCAGGAGAAGGTGTGACCAAAGGATTATTTCTAATGCTTTTACGTACCTATTCCATAGCCTTCATAGAGCTGTCTTTCACGTTCTATGGTCTGCTTGATGACAGTTTCCCGTGAACCATGCTGTCTTCCTTGTCTACCTTTAATACTGTTTTGTAATTCAATCTGCTCCAATTCAGCATTGAATCGACACATATAACTGAAAGAAATAAAATGCATTTATGCTAGATGCAGTCATGCAAAACTTTTGCAAAACAGAATTACTTTGATAATCTAAGAAGTTATTTTACTAAACTTATTTATTTTCTAAATTAGTCAGAGATGTTTCTTAGATTTGAACTACTAGTTTAATCTTCGAAGTGGAATCTCCATTTAGAACTTCATTTGATCCATCTGTGGCTTCCAGAAGGATTAGGGTTTTTTCATTTGCCCTTTTTTTAAAAAAAAAAACAACTATGTTTGCATAAAACAAAACTCCCACATTATTATAATTCACCTGCTCTGGAAGACAAGTTAAATCTAAGTATTCCTAATTTTTAATTACTGAATTTCACCACCTCAATAATAATTTTTAAAGTAAAGTTCTTCTTTGGCAAGTGTTCTACATCATCTCGCAAATGTCCAACCCAAATCCAAAAAGTAAGCTTTTATTGCCTTTGCAGTATCACTAGCATTGATTAGCAGTTTACAGGTTTCAGGAACAGCGTAGGAAATATGTCAGAGCTTCTAAAAGGAAACTGATATAGTACGCCTGTGTAAGAATACATATATATTATGTTACCTAGCTAGCAGGTAAAAAATGGTGACAAGCTATAGGTACATACGTCTAGCAGCACAGAAATAACTGAGTTTCTTCTTAGCAGATTCAATTTTGGTACTTCCTGCCCTAAAAACTGACCCACCTGAGTACTGTTTAATTTTCTCAGCAAGGAAACTGAAAGAATAAAGGAGTAAGCAGAATGAAATCTGTGCATTTAAGTGTCACTGAATAACCCAACTAGCAAATTCATGCAATTACTACTGTCCAAATCATTTAGAGTCCTCCACACACTACAAAAGCAGAGATATACTTAAATAATAAAAAACCCAAACAATAACACATGACTTACTTCAGTAATTCTAGTGTGAACATATATATCTCTCAATCTATAATTAACCTCAGTTGCCACAAAATCAACTACTTCATATTATTAACAGTAATATATAAAAAGTCCTCCTCTGAGTCATCATCACTTTACAGATCTTATTTCAGAACATTATTTTAAAACATAAATAAAGGTTTTTAATCCTGTTTTTAGCACCAGTCTTACTTTTCAATTAGTTCGCCAGCTTCCTTCTTCGTGTACTCAATTTTATTGGGGTCAAGGTGACTTTGAAACCATTGCAATTTTTCTCCTACAAGAACAAACTTAACATTAATGATTACATCTCCACTGTAGCACCAACACAGATTAAAGTTCTTAAAAGTCTTCTAAATAACCCCCCATTTTTCAAGATTTTAAATGGCATCATAGACTCACTGATGTGTGTACCAGGTATGAAGGCAGCTGTAATAGAAACATTCTCACATCATTTCAGATGTATTTTGTATCTTCCTTAAGGAAAAAAGACATTACACTTTGCTTTACTGGAAATCAGTGTTTAAAGTATCCCTGCATCAATTCCTTAAGATGGAAACTGAGGAATGCCCCAAGGGGAAAAAATAACACAATGGCTGAGCAAGAGTTCTGATCATCACAATTTTTTAACAGATTAAATTGAAAAGGTGCAGTGCCATATGAAAAAGAAAAATATTCCAGGTTGTGTCTCAAAGTTTTGAATTTACTTGCTAGCATAATGTGTCTGTTAACCTACATATATAATCCTCTTTTACAAGCAATTAAAAAAAAGCATGGAGACAGGTACAATAATTACATGTACAGATGTACAAAACAGAAATTTGGTCTATATTGCCCTGTTGTCATGTACACTGACTAAAGATTAGGCTATACTCAGCCCCAACTTCAATCCCGTATACACTACTTGAGTGAACATGTTGGGTAATTTAGCATTTCAACAGTCTATTTTAAGATTACAGACTCAGATTATAGAGAAAGAAACTCTAACTGGTGTAGCTATAAAATTGGTAAAACTTAAAATCTATGCTAAAAAGTTGAATACTGTACGCAGTAATAGACATTTTTGCTCACCAATGATACTCAAACGCAAAGCTTTGTCAGTCTTCAGCCTAGCAAAGAAAAACCAGATATGTTAGCCAGGAAGGAGTACCATACAAATAATTATCTTAATTTTCTTTCTCCAAAAATCATTTTTTTGGAGTCACCATGAAAGTCAAGGTAAAATTTCAAATAGAAGTATTTCCCAAATTCAGAACATGTAAAACTTCATCTAAAAATTCTACTTTTGGTAAAACTACTACCTGAAATTTGTCCAGTTTACCTATTAAGTTAAGCAGTTTCTTGGAAGAAATTAGGACACAACACTTTTCTTAGAGCACAGCAAAAGGAATTCCATGGAAGACCTTGTAATAATTTCATCAAGTATATCTAATATTCTGCTGGTATGTTTAATGAGTTTGGAGATTAAGAACAAAAGATTTCACCACATTCATCCTTGCAAATAAGCATACAATGGGAAAAATACCATTCTAGTATCTAATAAACTTCTAATAATTAAAGTTTATGCTTAGCTAACAGTAAAAGTTAATGTGTTAAGAAACCAAAATTAACAACTTTACAAAAAAAGATGAAAAAAATCCATCTCAAAGTATTTTTAACTCCACCTCAACCTCTGGCGAGATACTTGAAGCCTTCTGTACTCTATGGGATGTGTGTACACAATTCAGTTTGGGATTAATCCCAGTCCTATTGAGTAATTCTCAGAGAACACAAGTTTTCTAACAAGTAATACAGTGCCTCACACATTTTTGTCCTGAAGTGCCCAGATTCAGTCTGCAGCAGTGAATGGTGCTGAATGTCACTTCATTTCCAGAAAGGAAAATAATATGTTGTTGGGATAAGTATAAAATTTGTCACTGGAAAAAATATCTTAGCCATGCATGTTCAGTGTATATATCCAAGAACCTCTGATAAAATTGACTTTTTAAAAATTATTTAATAAGAAAATTGATAAAGGATAAAGAAAATCATAAAAGGATATCATTGACAAATAATGCCAAAATTCAACACAGTTCAAAGCTAATGTGCTCCTTCATTAAATTCCTGGTACTCTATAGAATTTAATGACCATTTTAGACTTAACTGAAGTAACTCAGAGTACAGAAGTCTGTGTCACCTGTCACAAAAATTCAGGTCAAAAGAGAAAGCCCTACTTTCCAGAGACAAACATACTTGTGTCACTTGTCCACGAACCTACATTATTAAAATAAAGATTAGCTTTTTCAAGAAGTATTTCATCCTCTGGAGACCATCCAAAAGCCACACAAAAGCAAATGCACAGCATGTGCGGGCTACCAAGAATTCCACTAATGCATTCAAGAAAAGCCCTTTTACTTCTGTAGATACCCCAGCACCTGGGATAAGCATTTTTAATGCAAAAGTCTACAGAGGTCAAGCATGGGGTGTGAGTTCCATCATACCTGCCAAAAAAAATCCAAGCTGGTTGATTAATCGAAGATTTTAGTGTTAAAACAAAAATGACTCTTGTTCTGGTGGGTTAAAGGATAGACTTGGATGAGACTATTTAAAAAAAAAAAAAAAGGAAAAAGGAGTTAGATCAGAAGTCAGGTTTAAAACTCAGCTATAGAAGATGCCTGCAATAAAAACTGTGGTAGGTAGGCTACAGAGGGCTTACAGCAGGGAGTTTTGAACAGTAATAGCGACCAAGAAAAGGACGCATTCCACATGGTGGAACTCCACACCAGCAGTCCCTACTGTGAACCTTGCATGGCAACACAGCCAGCAGAGCACATCTGCAAAGCGTTGCCATGGAGAAAACTACGACACCATCTAGAAAAGCTGCCAGATTAGAATCATAAATCATGTCATGTATCTATGCTTTAAAACACTACAAATTACCATTTGCAACTGCAAGGGTCACTAAATAATTAATTTATCAAGGCAATGAAACACATAACCAGGATTTTCTTCTGGAAGAAAAACCTTACATCTCTAGGTGTACACAACTTATCTGAGTATGAGAGATAATGATGATAGGATTGGATATTGCCTTATTGTAGTTTTCATAAAAACCTCACCTCAGTGACTACTAGAAGACAATAGTATTAGCATGGAGGCTAACCAATTAAGTCAAAGAAAGTTCCTCTTATCTCCTTCCACACAATGAGTAACATCTTTTGCTCAACAGAAAGAGAGGGTAAGGACACGGACATGGATACAGTCTTGTGGCAGGCTGTTGCTTAATGATTTTCTCTTCCACCCACCTCCCAAAAATCATCTGCTTAGGCACCAATTATTGATAAGGATGATAAGTGGTTTTCTTGATGTTTACTAGGTACTTAAAAGGTTAAAGCCTTCATGCTCCATCAACACCTCTCTCTCAGATATTGTATTCAACTGTTCTACACTAAATACTAGCAATGAATAAATATCTGTCAAATCAGTCTACCAATTCAGTATTTTTCCCCATAATGTCTACACACACAAATGCCATCTATGGCTCTGAGAGCTAAGATAGGCTCTTTCATTAAGAAAAAAAATAATTCATGGTTGACAGGACATATTTCCTTGTTTCTTGTTTCATGTTGCTAAATACCTTCCATATTTCTCCCTACACATGTCCGTTTTTGTTAGCTTATGCACCAATTAGTGGCTTGGTTAAGCATTTTAGGATACTTCCATATGAAAACCACTCTATAAGAATTAAAAATTCTGATTTATTTTCAGTTCATTTTTTATTTCTGTAAGCAAACCAAATAATCTTAAGAGCTAACATTTTTTTTAGTTCCACATAAAGAATCTGCAAAAGCACAATTCAAAGCATCACTACTGCAAACAGCACAAGTAGAAGCATAATGGCTTGAGAGAGATTAAAAGGCTGGACAACAGAAAAGCTAAGGAGAAACAAAGAGCTCCACAAGGAGATATTTTAAGGTTACTGCTCACTCCTAAGGGGTCGCTTCAGCCAGATCAAGAAATCCTGTAAAAACTCCTTAGCGCTCGTATCTCAGAGCACGACAGTATTAGATCTGTATATTTGTAATGAAAACGCACAGACTCCTAAAAAATTTACAATATATGCACAATAGAAAGGGTATATGTTGACTCAGGAGGAAAACAACAGAAAAAAAAATCCAGTGCTAGATCAGCTTTAGCTACCAAAACCAGACAGAGATTTCAGCTGTTGCAAACAAAACATGATTGGTGTTGGTACATCTACTATGAGAAGTTCCCGGAATATCCCATTATGGTCTGGTTTCCTAAAGTGTAGAAAAAGCAGTGTTCTACTGGCGTCAGTGAACCAGCTATTGCTGTCTCATTAAAACATCTTTGTAATTATTTAACAGAATAAACAAATTGCCAATAGAAATAAGAATTCACATGTAGATTAAGAGAGAATACATTGATAGTAATACACTGGAATTTGTTGCTGTTCATCAGACCTTGAGAACTGAGAAGAGGGATGCAGGCAAGAAAACAGTGTGATTCAAGTGAACAAGATGACTTAAGACTGTAGCCAATTTTCTAAAACCAACTGGTCTGTCTCCTCTTATTATGGTCAAGATTGGTCTTTTGTAGTGCAGCCAGAGTTTCTGGACAATAAACTTATTATTACTGCCATATTTCATTGAGAGTGCTTGCATTGAAGAGTATCTGGACAATGGAGGCTATAAAAGACTTCTGCAACTCAGAGCAGAACTTCCTCCTTTTTCCCAGTGCTGCATTAAGTACTGAAATTCCCTGTGGGTAATGTCTTCCCTTTTTTATTACCTTGTTTGGGCAAAAGATACTTGAATATGCATCTTGTAACTAAATGCAATTTCCTTTCCTGTTTAACATAAACAGGAATGTTCACAGTAGCTATTTCTCTTCCTCTATCATACAGAAAAGTTAAAAAGTAAACAGAAGCCTAAACTGTCTCTAGTCCTGAATCCTGTCTCCAGCCAACTACCAAAGGAAACAAAAACAAAAGAAACAAACCACACAAAACCAAAGCAAACATTTACTGACACTTCTACAAAAGACATTCTCACCTTCCAGTAACATGCCATTCAAGGGCTTCCTACACCCAAGGTAATACTTTTGTATTGAATAGTAATCAACAGATAAAATGTACGTATGTTCAAAAAGTATTATTGCACAAATTTAGCCAACCACAATTACAACATCTTCTGGCAAGTAAATCCACAGCTTAATTAAAATAATACAGATGAACTGTATGAACTTCCTAGATTCATTGACTGTCTCTGATCCAGTTTTTCCATGCTGCAGAAGTGCATTAGCCTGTACAGAGAAATTATCCCCTTTACTCAGGGCTGGTGAGATCATATTGAGAATATTGCCTCCAGTTTTGGGCCTTCCCCACATTTAAGACAACTAATTTCTATACAATAAGAAGCATAGTCAAAAAAGTACCAGAATTGTAAATGGGATTAAGAAAATACTGTAGAGATTATGAGGCAGCTTCTCCTATTTACTACCAAAGGATGCATTAACCTTCCAAGCAGAGAACAGGGCTGTCATTAAATAGGAGTAATTTGGAAATTGTTTCTGCAAATATTTCAACTTCAGTAAGTCATTTTCCAGTGAAAAAGTCTTCAGTAAGCTTACTGCAGTTAAGTCACAAATTTGGAAGCAACAATGCCAGAGCATTTATTTAGTATCAGCTGCCACCAAAAGAAGACATTTAATAGACTTGCAAAAGCAATGAGAAGAACAAAATCAGTGTGGGCTACTTCTTTTTCCTGAGTGTAGGAGTGGAAAGCTTTCCTCCATCCATAGCATCAGAAATTTAACTTGTCTTTTTCAGAGCTCTGCAAAATTAACCCAAACCCTGCCATTATAGTAAAGAAACTGAAAGCTAAGTAATTACACTAAAAAGACTGGTTAGTGGCTAAACTGACTGTTTTTAAACACATGCTTAACTCCCAATATTTAAAAAAAAAGATCTTAAGATTTAACAAGCTGATCATTGAGACAATAGAGATCCAAAAGAAATCGGAACCCTTAACAAGTCTTTTAAAGACACTAGGGAAGAAAAGAAAACAACATTATTAATGTATTTCAAGTTAAATTGCTCTTCAAGCCAAGACAGTACAGAAAATAGAATATAGACAACTGGAGGATGTTTTTAATGCAAATTATTTTTAGAACACCACAACAGAAGTGATGTGCAAAGTGCAGATCTGTGAACAATGCTAGTTAATTGTTTAGGATCCAGAACTGCAAGATGTACAAATCTTATTTATAGATAGATCATTTTGCTATCACAATATGCTTTGGATGGTCCAGACTGACACACTAGTTATGGTGGAACAGCTTCCCTATGCTAAATGAAGGGTTACATTTTTTACCATCAGCATAGAGGCCTCACACTTGAAATAGTAAGGGAGCTTGGAAAAGGAAAGGCAGAAATCAAGAAACAGAGCCTAAAGAAATGGATACCCATCTACATCCTCTAATCTTAAACTGGGTTTCTCTCTATAGAATCATTTAGGTTGGAAAAGACCTTCAAGATCACCGAGTCCAACCATCAACCATGCCCGCTAAACCATGTCCTGAAGCGCCTTATCTATGCACTTTTTGAATACCTCCAGGGATGGTGACTCAACCACTTCCCTGGGCAGCCTGTTCCAATGCCTGACAACCCTTTCAGTAAAAAAATTTTTCCCTAATATCCAATCCAAACCTCCCCTGGTGCAACTTGAGGCCATTTCCTCTTGTCCTATCACCAGTTACTTGATAGAAGAGACCAGTGCCCACCTCACTACAACCTCCTTTCAGGTAGTTGTAGAGAGCGATAAGGTCTCCCCTCAGCCTCCTTTTCTCCAGACTAAACAGCCCCAGTTCCCTCAGCTGCTCCTCATAAGACTATGGAGCATCTCTGCTCTGTGAGGCCTAAAAAGTATAACTATCCACATCCAAAAGAGAACCTATGGGAAAGGATAGCTATCTACATACTCTAATCTTAAACTGAGTTTCTCTCCATTAACCACTTTTGCTCTGTGAAGGCATTAGGCTTCACTGATCCCCACAATAATTCAAGATAAACCATCTGCTCTTTCATCGGGCTGCTTGAAGCTCACCCTTTTATTACCCTGCTTGGCTGCCAATATTTAATCGTTTTTCATAAAATGGTGCTTTTTTTTCCTCAGGTAACCCATGACAGATACCAAAAGTTGGTCTGCTTGTTTCACTTGGAAGGATTCTGCTGCCATGGCTAGCTCCTTTTGCCGCATTTCAGAGGAAAGGAACAGGAAGGCTAACCATACTGTTATAAAGACCACTGTCTCTTAAACAGGTAAAAAACTCATTTGTAAATAAATGTTTCTTTTATGTAAAATTCCTTTTTAAAAAGCAAATTAACTTTTTAAAGAAAGGCTGAAGTAACATGGTAGAGTTATATTTGTTAGCAGAAGCATTTGAACTAAACTCAAATCCTCCAAAAAAAACTTTCGTAGAGGATTAACCTGTCATTGTGCACAGGAGAAACTACTATAGCCCAAGTAAAGGACAAGGAGCATTTAGCTGTCTCTACCAGCCAGTGGCAACAGGTGCTAGGAGATAGAAGGAAGACACTGTAGCAATTGTTCTACATTTACCGCTAGTCAAGATAAGGTTTTATTTGCAAGGCATAGGAAATAAACTCCCTAAACATATACCATCAATTCATCCTTGCGTAACCTGGTTACTGAGACGTTAACTGTTGTTCAATCCAACAAATCTACGTTTTTAGTACTGCAATTATTGGTGAGGTTAAAAAAAAAAATTAACATGGTTGAACTGAGAGCTGCATTCCACAATGTATTAACTGTAAAACTACAGCCATGGGGGCTAGTGCAGATAAATGACTGGTATTGTCATGTGCTGAGCTATGAGACTTCATATACTCTGGCAAGCACAGACAGAAATCTACATAGGGAAGACTAGGCATTAGAACCAACTCTCAGATAAGCAAGTCTCGAAATCAATACATTTGGTGACAAGTGCCAAAAGAAAGGAAACTTCCAATGAATTAAAGAATTTAATTTCTTGTCTGTCATTGGGGGACCTAGAACTTTTTTTTAACCAAATTTAAGGGTTAAGATCATCTAGATCATCATACGAGAAAGGACAAGGTGTGTTTCAGTGGCTTACTACAAGTGTATCTATCTAGACAATCAGTTAGAAAGTCAGTAATATTTCCAGTTTACTGAACCCTGTGTGCTCAAAACTACTAAGTGGCCTTTGGCTCCTAAACCAATTTTGATCCATATTCTGCTCTGTAGACTTCACTTGGCAATGTGAGCAGTGCACTAAGAATCCACTGCCACAAAGGTGGCTCCAGTAGCTCAAGACACCCTGACACTGCTCTGAACATCCTTAAAGCAGTAAACTTTTCAGCTGCTCATCAGAAAAAGCACCTGTGCTAGAATTAAGCAACATTACTTACATACTATGACTTGCCAAATCTAACCGCCTCAGTAACAAAGCCTAGTCAGTACAAAGCCAGCAACTTTTCATTCCTTTTCATGGCAAGGATGACCTGCATTAAGCAGAAAAATGAACGATGCATTTGGTACTCTCTTACCTGCACCAAAATATTGCCCTGTGCAATCTCTTAACATGTACCTTAAAAGCTTCTCCATGAAGAAAAGTAATTAAGAGCAAGTTAAATGGGAGAATACTATTCCAGTGGGAGTTCTTTGCTTTTACTTCTTGCTGTTGCAAGAGGAACCAAAAGTAGCACTCTAAAAACAAACGTCAGCACAGGTGTCTGTATCAGTATAACTCTACCCACAGAGACAATCAGTAAAAGATTTGACTGAGTGCGCCATGTCACAATAAATAATCAGTATATCACTCCTTCACTCAGTAAGTTTTCTCATGCATGTTTTTCTTTATGGCAAAGTCATAGATGTAAGCACTAAGAATCAAGTGTAATTCAGTTATCCTTTGTGATTAAGTGCTCAGTTATGAGGCAATATGAGAGAGTTAAGGGATGAAGCAGTCAATTTAGCACTAGGAAAATAATCTACAATAAACTTACAATCAGCAGTCGGAGAGCACAGACAAAACATGAAGTAGTAGGGAAAACTTCTTGCACATTAGGAAACTGCGCAATCCTCAACAAATGCTACTTGTAAATTCTTGCAGCAGCTTTGCTTGAGTCTACATGACACAGTTATGCTAGTAAAGGGTCCCTTTCTGTTAGAGCAACCTTACAACTTTGCTATGGATAAGGTTGTACATCCATCCCCAACCATAAAATTGCACAGTCTCTGAGGAACGTTTCAACTGTACCAGGAGTTCCCAATTTAACACTGTCAGACATTTGAGTATTTGGGCTCAGCTCACATGATCCATCCAAATACTAGAGACAGAATGGAAACTAAAGGCCAGTCCTCTCCAGCTACCTTTTCCCTCTGTGGAAGGGGGAGGTAAAACTTAAAAGCAGAAAATGAACTTGCCACGGAATAACAGGAAATCACCAAAGAGGAGTTAACTATTCAGTTTTATTCAGAAGTCTCTCTTTGCAGGAAGGTTTCTGGGTTTTCTTTTGTACAAACTCAGCACTTCAGCACAAGAAGCTAGACCCTAAGCAGGATTCTTATTAAATCGTGGAGTAAAGTCAAACGAGCTGATTAAGCTTCGTGCGAAATCACCAGCATCATGCCATTCAGATTATAAAAAGCAAAATGTTGTGATAAGAAGAAACCTAACCTGTAAGGACAATACCAAAAATCAAGCAGCAGAACCACATACTTTGTATAAGCTGATTTCATGAATGCAAACCTGTCAGCTCACATGGCCCAGCAGTACTAAGTTCTAAGTTATATAGGTCTTTCTTCTATCCTAAGGTTATATCAGCATAACAGTCCCCTTCCACCACCACCGTCTTCCCCCCTAACAAAAAAAACCTACTGTGATGCTATCCTTTGGCCTGTGCACAGATTCTGCACAGTCAACTTACTTTTCTTTCTTCTCCTGTTTGTGTGCTTCCCTTGCAAGCTGCGCAGCTTTTCTGCTGTAAGGATGGATAACTTTTTTCTCTTGCTTCCCTCCTTGGGTTTTTCGTAACTTTGGCTGAAAAGAAATCAAAGATGTTATATGCTACTAAAGTTAAGTAAAACATTAAAGGGAAGATAGGAGCACACACCATGATAAAGACTTAAAAGGTCATGCATCAATATCTCAGGAAGCCCTGAGTAGCAGCTTATCAGTTCCACCAGTTAGATCTTACCCTCCTCAGTAAGAAACAAAACTACTTGAACATGGTACATGCTGTAACAAAACTACTGGAGCACGGAAAATGCAGTAAAGTAAAAAATCTTACATAGTGACATTTTGAGAGTTCAAAATACCTATTTTGTAGAACCCCGCAGCTAGGAAACTGAGATTACCTCTCTGTACCTTTGCAGTAAATGTCCCCATTCAAGCTTCTACCTGACTGTTGCATCTAGCTTTCTGACAAAGGTCATGTGTAATTTGTACAACATAACAGGAAGGATTTTGTTGTCCCTCCCTGCAGACCACAAGGATGCCTCGCACCAGGGAGCAGCCACAGGCCTGCCTTCTCTAGCCCTTCACGCAGCACAGAGAGGGAATACTACTCACAAATTAACTTAAACTAGTGTTACAGTATTTTTTTAGGTTACTTTTCGGTGAAAAAGTGTTTGAACAAAACCGGAAGGCTTTCTCAAACAAGAGGTGATTTAAATTCTTTAAAGTCTTTAACTGTGTGCAAAAGAAACACCTGAAAGCAAGGAGGCTAAATGGGCAAACGTGATGCAGGGAACAGCCATCAATAAACGGAGACTTCAGTACCTCGCATAATCTGTGCTGGCACCCCTGTTTGGGATTGCAAAAAAAGAAGAGACAAAGATAAAATTATCCCGAACACCTAAAGAAACCTCAGGAGGCACCCTGCACAAGTTTCACGCGTCAACCCCGCTCCTCACTCCTTCCCCCCGTCAATCCGGAGGTGCTCGCTGGCGGCTACGGGCACAGAACCGGCCCCACTGCCCTCGCTCGCCCGCCCGCCGGCGGCCCGGCCGGGCAGGCCTACCACGACGCAAGCCTCCCCAGCCGCAAAGGCGCCCCTGCGACGGGCAGGGTCACTCGGTGCTCCCCGCTTCCCCCGGGGCCGGCCAGCGGCGGGGGGTCGGGGGTTGGGGGAGGCGCTTTTAGACGCGAGGTCGGTTTACCGCCGTTAACGGCCCACCCGGCCGCCTCGCCGCGCTTCAGGGGACCCGCCGCGGAGTCCAGGAACGGCGGTGGGGCCGCTCCCGGCGGGAAGGGAAGGGCCGGGAGCGCCCCGTGAGGAGCCCCCCGCCGCCGGCAGAAGCAGAGGCTGCGGCAGCCGCAGCGCTACCCTCATCC